AGGGCGGCACGCTGCCTGGGTCGTTGTGCGGGGCGGCGGCGGCGGCGGCTCAGAGCGGCGCGTTGCGTTTGCACGGGGCGGGGGGGGGGCGGCCAAGGCTCTGGCTTTAAGGTTTCAGGATCACCCCAGAAACCCTTCCCCGGGGCTTGGCGGGGAGGGAAGCCAGGGGTGTGATGTGGCGCTTGCAGAATGCCCGAGAGCGCTGCCTGCAATCGGGCTCATCTGACACCGCTTAAAGTTTTCAGCCCCCCAATACTGACGAGAACGGAAGCGCCTTGATCAGAATCGGGGTGGTGGGGCGGGGGGGGGTGCAGCATGGCTGCACGGTTTCCTTCCACAATACCGTGTAGATCTCCTGCCGGTATGGATTGAAACCACCAGAAGCTCCAGTTCAATTATATAAATCAATTTCGAAACTGCATTTGGTTTATCTGATGTTCAGCTGTCGAAAAAATATTGAGAAGACTAATTGCATGCCTTTGATGTTTCCCAGGAACCACCAAAACCGGGGAAAAGTGGGAAAAGTTCAAAAGAAGGACAAGACACGGTAGACACAGAGGTAACTCTCTTCAGAGATTCTTTTTTTTCCCCCATGAACAGTTTCTAATACAGAGAATAAGGGGGTGGAAAAGCCCTAAGTGATAAACTCTGGGTCTTCCGAAATATTTTCCTCTGTGAGACTTTGAGGTCTTACCATTTGGAGTTTTTCAGGTATTTCTTTTTTTCTGCTTTGGAAAATATCAATGATGTTATGAATGGTATGCTGACCTGAGGAACAGTTTTGTGTGTGTGTGTGTGTGTGTGTGTGTGTGTGTGTGTCAGTCTTGTTTTTTGTGTGTGTGTGTGGCAGTCTTGTTTTTTGTTTGTGTGTGTGTGTGTGTTTGCCCATCCTGGGGCTTGAACTCAGGGACTGGACACTGTCCCTGGGCTTCTTTTGCTCAAGAATAGCACTCTACAACCTGAGCCACAGTGCCACTTCCAGCTCTTTCTGAGCAGTTAAATTGGGTATAAGCAACTCACAGAATTTTCTGCCTGGGCCAGCTTTGAACCACATTCCCCAAATCCTCCCAAGTAGCTAGGCTTACAGGCCTGAGCTGCCAGCATCTGCTTCGAAGCTGGTATTTTTAAGTTTATTCCACCTCCTTGCCCCTACCAAGTGCTCCCTTGCACACAGTCATACAGGGGCTCTGGCTGGACTTCGGTTCCTTCTAGCTTCCTTCTTGTGCCAGCTACCAGGTGGCTTTTTCAGTGGCTCCTTCCTTATCACCCTGCTTTCTTTGGTGCTGTCTCCGCAGCTGGTGTTCTGAACAAGCTTTTTTTTTCTCTTGATGTCTAGTTCTTTTCAACTCAATAGTGCTGGTATTTTTGATACCTAGTTTGGGTATTTTTTTTGTGTAGTCTTCTACTTTCTCCACTCGCCTCCTTCTCACCTTTCCCCTCACCTCCCTGCAATTGGCAAATTGTGACTTTTCCTTCTTCCTGGCTTTGGGCTTATTTAAGGAACAGCTGGAATGCTCTGTGTAGTTTTGTCTACCTGGTGGAATCTTTGTTCCTTGACACAGTTGTAGGTTGGGAGTGTTTGCAGAATCACCACATTGGCCTTTTCTTCCTGTGACTAATCGGGGAACTGTAGCTACTGAGGCCAAGGGTCCAAGTCTCTGTGAGCTCAGAAGCTGCTGACAAGGGCCTCCTTCAGTCCGGGCTCCAGAACTGATCACTGAGGTCTTATCACACATTGTGTGACTCTCAGACTCCTTCCTGTACATCGTATTAGAAGAGTTGAACTCTGCCTGAGAAACACAGTTAACTGGTAATGAGCTGCAGTAGACTTTGATTAGCCCCAGGTTATCTTTCCTTGTCCTTGGTGTATTCTAAGCCTCTCTCCTTTACAGCAAGTAGCTTATTCCAACAAATCTATTGCCCTATCTAGAGCAAAAAGCAGAAATCTAAAAGGTTCTTTAAATATGCTTAGTTAGAATTATTTGCACCTGTCTTTCTCTGCTCTTGCTCTTTCTTTATAGCAGGTAATCCACTTTTACTGTGGCTCATGTGCGTTTCACTTGCTTACTTCCTGGGTCATTCTTCTGACAATTTAGATGAGAAGTAGTTACCTTTGCAGGGGTATACGCTCTCTTTTAGGGTTGTTGCTCTGTCATTAAAACTGCTAAGACTTCCTACTGTCCTTAAACTTTTCTTGCTAACACGCCTATATCTACTTACTGCTACGTCTACCAAGGGATATAAATGTATATGCGTCATCTGCTTCTATTTTAGAGGAAAGAACCTGGCCATAAGGATAAATAATGTTAAGTTTGAACCTGAAAAGTCCATCAGTAATTCAAAAATTCCCAAATCAGTGCTGTGTGGAAATGTGTTTGTAAGGTGGCTTGGATTCTTGGACTGTCTATTGAGTTAGGATCTTGAGCATGGCCTGTAGTGTCTGAGTGTGATGCCCCACTTGTCTTTTTGTATTTTTTCTAGTGCTACTGTCTTAAGAGCTGGAACCACAAGGCTTGAAATTTCCACTGCAAAACACAGATGTTGAGCACCTCATTACCTCTCATAAGGACCCCAGAGGCAACATGGCATTTTAAGCATGACACTTGGCAGGTCACTGTGTAAACTGTTGTTTAGGAATACAGATTGAGTCACATGAGTTCATCTGAACTCTGAGTTGACCCTTACTCCGTTGTTTTCTTCCCTCAGCTTTCAGCTCTCTTCCTCTCTTCTAGTTCCGCCCACTTACCAAGCATGATTGACTCACACAGGTGAATTAAACCATTCTTGCACACATTTTTTCTTCTCCTGTCTCTCAGTGTTACTCTGAACTAGAATACCTTAACCTGAGGGATTTAAATAGGTTTAATATTCCCATGTTGCTTTGGAACATGTCACCTTTGGAATATGTCACCTTCACAAGTAATTTTGTTCATGTTCCCCATGAACATGTCTGTGAGCATGGAGTTACCACACACTCCCTTCACAGCCTGTAGTGGGTGGAGGACGGGTGCCTGCTCCAGGCTTGAGAAGTAATCCCGGCAGAGGAATCATTCAGGATCCTGGCATGAGGTTGCCATAACACATTACTTCAATTGTGTGAAAGGTCCTTATAGAGGAAACGCTGGCTAGCTGTCTTCTAGCCTTACAGAAGACAAGGCAGCAAGTGGTCTGCATGGAAGATCACATTTTTTGGCTACAACAAGGGAATATTTGACAGCCTGGACCTTTTTTCCCTAAGGAAGATAAAGTCATGGAGCAAAAGGTACACCAGCAAAGTGGAAAGATTTTCATTCACCTGAGGAATTACAAAATTGAAACGCCGCTTCCTGCGTGTCATAAATTATGAGTCATATACTTGTGTGACTCTATTTCCTCATCTCTAAAATAAGTTGGTGAGTTTAAGATTTTTCCATTTTTATTTATGTGGAACAGATAAGGCTTTATTCTGATAAGAAATTTACCCCAAAAGCTATATGGCAGGACATATCTCAGAATAACAAAATACTGTTAAAGGCCATCACTATTGTAGCCAACTTGTACCTTATCCTAAAAAGGCCTACTTCTTCAATGACACACTTACACATTTTTTTCTTTCTTTTATTTTTCTCCTCTCCCAAATAGAATTTTAAAATTTGACTTGTTGCTTATCCACATGTGTCCTGGAAATGGAAGTTTCTGTCCAGTTCTCACTGCTGGTTTTGCAGCACATATTTAAGGAATAAGAACATAGCTGGACTAATAGGCCACTTGATAATGGAAAATGTGGAGATTGGCAAGGAACTATATTCTTGTGCAGCTCTTCTCAGTAGCATTCAAGTCTGGGGGAGCATGACTAGGCACATTTTATGAATATTTAAAATCTTAATAAATTCCTCAAATCCTAAAGTTCATTTTGCAAGATCAGACTGCAGGATGGTGTTGCTGTATTGTTTTGTTTTGTCTTTTGAATTTGTGTACTGTGTCCAAAGTTATGCTTTAAATAATTGTTAATGCATTTGTGAAGTGATTTGTTTTCAGCACATTAAAGGTGATTTGAGTATTGTTCTCTGCTTATGTATTTTGCGTGTCCGGCTCTGCTTAGTTTGGTTTCGAAGCCTTTACAGCAACTCTTATATAACATCTATTGCTGAAAAGAAAGCTGAACAGCCTTCCCTTGGACCTGGTATCTTATCGCGACACTGTCTACCTCTAGGAATAACATCCTTACAGATAGTCCCTTTGCAGTTCCATTGCCACCACCCCCATGGTGTTCTGGAGCAGAGAAACAAAGACCTGCCTAAGGTCATATTGCACTGGGTGGTGGAATAATTTTCTATAAGTTAAAACAAATGTTTTATTAATCTGATAGCACATCTTTATATTAACATAAATTTTTTAAAAGAAGATCTTCTCAAAGATTTTTTTTTTTTACTTTCTGTTCATATGCTGGCAGGAGTTTTCTCCTGAGTTAGTTGAAAGAGGACAGTGGGAAGTGTTCAAGGAGAACTGGGTGGTGGCATGGCCGCCGCAGGGGGACATCTGGCCCCTGCTTCCCTGGCAAGACTATAGCCTCCATCTGTATGCTCATCTCTGAGCACTTGTCTTCTGTTTGGACCTCCTGTACCTTGTTTTCTTCCATTCTCTCCCAGCTTTTTTCCATACAACCCTCAAGGAAACGCCAGTAAATCCAAATCAAAGAAGAGGTATTTGGGAAATACTACAGATAAAAGGCTCTGGAAGATATGTGGCAGTATAATCAAATACTGTTCAAGGGCATTGGAATTCATATGTAATTGTTACATAGGAAATGCCATTCCTTGCTTTGAATTTCTTGTCTTGGATGGCTCTTCCCAGGCTCCTTCCCCTAACCATCCTTGCTCAGATGCTGGAGAAAGGTGGCCAGGCTGCAAGGAACCAGCCACTGCGAGCCTGCACCAGCTGCTCTCAAGACCTCAAAGAAGCAGTTGGTTCTTCCTTAAACTGCCACCCTCCTCTAACGCACCCTCCTGTCCAATTGTAAGCGTCATAGATGGACCTTCAGGAGACCCCCTTGTGATCTCCCACCCCTGGACATGGGGGCCCAATTCTTCACTGGAAGGCTATCCTGGGTCTTGTGCTTTGTAGGAGGTTCACCAGCATCCTTGGACTTACCACTGAAGGCCATTAGCAACCAGAGTGCATCCAGCATTGCTAAATGTTGTCTGAAGGACATACACACCTTGCTAAGCTTCTCCACAGAGCACATGTTTACTTACAGAGCAACATATAACTCACCCTGCCGCAGTTGCCTGCAAAACTGCAGTGCTCAGATGAAGGGGGTTTTTCCTGTTCACTCACCGAAGTTAGAACCCCAAAGGGAAGCTATATCTACCAACTGAATTTATCCAAGTTGAACCTGATCACCAGAAAGAGCAGCATTGCTTTATGTTCATACAAATCTCTTCAACTGTCTACCTCTGTATTCAGTCCATTCTGATATCATGTGTAGTCTGTGAATAACTCCACATCACGATTCTACAAAGGCCACATCATGTCTTCCTGTTAGGAAAGCAGCTTTGACTTCTTGCACTCCTGAAAGCA